CAACTCTGTCCTTCCCGATTTTCTGCCTGCTGGGTCTGTCAGTCAATGACAGAGGGGTGTTGAAGTCTCCAACCATAGTAGTGAATTTGTTTCTCTCTCCTCACAGTTCTATCAGTTTGCTTCATGTGTTTTGATGCTCTATTGTTGGGCACATACATATTAAAAATTGTTATGTCTTCTTAGTGAATTGACTGCTTTATTATTATGTAATGCCCCTTTCTATCTAGAGTGATTTTCTATGCTCTGAAATCTGCTCTGTCTGAAATTGAAATAGCTACACCAGCTTTCTCTTATTAGTGTTAGCATGGTATATCTTTCTCTGTTCTTCACTTTTAATCTATCTGTACCTTTATATTAATGGAAGTTTCTTGTAGACAACATATAGTTGGTTCTTGTTTTATGTCCACTCTGATAGTCTCTTTTAATTTGTGTATTGAGATCATTCACATTTAAAGTGATTATTAACATAATTGAATTAATATTGACCATATTTATAACGCTTTTCTTTCTTTCTTTTTTTTTTTTTTTTTTTTTGATAGAGTCTCACTTTGTTGCCCAGGCTACAGTGAGTGCCGTGGCATCAGCTTTTGCTTACAGCAACCTCAAACTCCTGGGCCCAAGCAATCCTCCTGCCTCAGCCTCTCAAGTAGCTGGGACTACAGGCGTGTGCCACCATGCCCGGCTAATTTTTTCTATATATATTTTTAGTTGGCCAATTAATTTCTTCCTATTTATAGTAGAGACAGGGTCTTGCTCTTTCTCAGGCTGGTTTCGAACTCCTGACCTCAAGCAATCTGCCCACCTCGGCCTCCCAGAGAGCTGGGATTACAGGCGTGAGCCACCGCACCCAGCCTAACACTTTTCTATTATTAGTTGCCCCATTGTTTCTTTTTTTGCCTTCCACTTTTTTTCTGCTTTTTCTCATCTTAATTGAACATCTTTTATGATTCCATTTGCTTGTTTCTCTCAGCATACCAATCATACTTATTTTTTAAATTTTTCTAGTGGTTGCCCTAGAGTTTGCAATATACAATTAAAACCAATGAAGTCCACTTTCAAATAACACTGTCCCACTTTACAAATAGTGTTCCCAGTTCCTCCCTCTCATCCCTTATGATGCTGCTGTCATTCATTTCACTTGCCCATAGGGATGTAATCACTGAATACATTATTGTTTATTATGTAAACAAACTGTTATCTCTGAGATCAACTTAGCATAAGAAGTGTAAAAGATTTTGTTTTGCCTTCATTTATCCCTTCTCTAATGTTCTTTCTTTATATAGATCCAAATTTCTGACGTATTTTCCTTGCCTCTCACCATTTTCATACAGCATTCTCTGTGGGTCTCCCCTGCTTCCGGGCCTGCTGTAGAGCTGCCCTGCTGGCCCGTGTGCAGGCCTGAGGGATCTTTAACAGACTGTTATCGGAGAGGTAGGACTGAGTGCTGCCAGATCCCCTGATAAGAACCAATCATCTGGGCTTTAAGAGAAAACAAAGGCCAGCTTCAAAATAGCAAAGATTAGCTGAGCCTCCCACACAGGAATCCCATAGCAAAGTGGCAGCTAGGCAGTGACCGTCCCCAGCGTCCTGGCCCTGCACGCCCAGCCAGCCGCACCTGCCCCGCTCCAACTCACCAACCCACGAGGCGGCTGCTCACTGCTCTGCGACAGCAGCAGGCGCCCCTTCTCAGCCTCGGCGCCTTGCCCTGCTCTGCCCTCCTGGCCAGGCCTCAGCGGTGGCTGCCCGCAGGCGCCTGCACATCTGCGGGAAGCCCGCGTGGGAGCCTCCGCAGCACTGAGCCTCTGGGGCTCAGACAGCTGCATATTGAGCATTTTCTCTGAGCAGGGACTGAAAGGGCCCTGAATGAATTCCAAGTATGAAGCAGTGGTTCACTGGGAACTGGCAACTTCCCTGTGTCTGTCCAAGCTCAGGGATGGCTTTGCTCATGGCGCCTGGCCTTCTCATCTCTGCACTCCCTGAGCAGCAGCTCCGGAGGGTGTAGGGCTTCTTTCTGGTTTATTGTCTGTGATATAACAGTTTTGCAGCGTTGACTTTGTCTCCCTCGCACACCGCTGTGGTGCGAGCGCACCAAGCACACAGTTATGCAGATGTGTCTGTGGAAAGGGGTGGCAAAGTCCTGTCTTCAAACAGGTTTCAGCCTCTAAATAGAAGAAAAGAATTGTGAGCCCCAACTTTTTTCATCCAGGAAGTAGGGGGAGGAGGGTATAGTGGAGAGCTCAGGTTACTAAGGAAACTATGGCCCAGGCTGCAGTGAGGGCCGGGCTGGCCCAGTGTGGCCCTGCAGCTGAGGTGCTTCCCTTAGGACCGTTTGCAAGCATCTTTTGGAAAGGAAGTTGTAATAACTCTGTGATGTTTTTCCTAAGCCTAATTACTAGGGATCCCTCTACATAGGACAGAGTGAAGGCCCCCCATATCACTGCAGGCAGGTTGATGAGTGTAGTGCCACAGCCTTCCACCCTGACGAAAATTGTTTTTTCCTTTCTGATGCTCATTTAAGTGAGTATTATAGACACTAGCAGTTTAATTGTAGACTTCTTAGACATCCCTTGAAATTTGTTTAGGGTTGCCAGAAAATATTTCCAATGGTTTTTAGACCTTCGATGAAACACATTTCCTCAACTCTTGCCTTGTTCTCTAATTGGAAGGAAATTGCTTAATCCCATATAAATGTAAATTCTATTAACAACCACGGATATCCTAGGGTAAAAAGTAAGTTTGGCTGGTAACAGTCTACTTTTTATTAATTCCCTTAACAGTCATTTACCAAGCACTGGTAAACCAGCGAGCCCAGCCCCATGCTGGGCCACAGCCGGGGTGCTTGGCCACTGTGGGCGCACTCTGGGCTTTGGGGGCTCCGCCACGCAGTTCTTCCCGTGCCTCCTCGCGCATCTGCCTGCTGTGGACTAGTCACACTCATTTCCGGCTGCATTATGAGCCTTTATTGAGTTGACTTTTCATCCCTTTGACCAGTTTTGATTAGATTTGCAAGGACAATGTCATTAGCTGGGGCAGCCTTTTCAAAATCAGGATTTTCATTTTTAAAAAGTTGTTCAAGTATGCATTGCATGAGTGTGTTTTAATAACTGAGCCTATCAGTTCTCATGCTTCTATTTTATCCTCTAAAGATAAATTTTCTCCTAATGCTTGTTCTAGTGGGGAATAAAATGTTTTGCTCCAAGAATGAGAAGGAAGACTCTTCTGTTTTTCTAAATATTCCACATCTTTTTCTTCAAACATCTGATTTTACCACTTTTCAACAAGGACAGTCTGCGATTTATCAGTGTATCTAGGTGATATCTGTAATGCTACACATCCGAGAAAACCATTCCTTCTCAATCTTTGGCATGACCCTCAGTCACAGAGGCTCTGCCAGCTTCACGGGGTGCTGCCTGCCCTGCCTCCATGCCCGCTGGCCCCAGCCCGCCGCGATGTGCAGGTGGCCAGGACACGCTGGCCAGCTCTGTTGCCTGTGGACCCACCTCACTGCCTTCTTTAGGGGCCTCCCCTGACCCTCAGGCCAGTCCAGAGAGCATCTCTGCTGTGCTTCTTAGGGGTCTTTTTCATTCCTCTCATCCAAGTACTAACCAGGCCTGGCCCTGCTTAGCTTCCAAGATCAGATGAGATCAGGCGTGCTCAGGGGGGTGTGGCCATAGACTTTTCTATTTCTCATTTAGCAATTTTTATGGTATTTTTACGCATTTTTTATTTATCTGCTTCCCCAACCAGACTGTGGAGTCACAGAGAGTGGAGATTACAGCATTCGTCTTTGTGTTTCTAGTACCGCACATATATCCCACACTTAAATAGCATCATATGGTTATTTGTTGCTTGAATAATAGTCACAGATTTTGTAGTACAAAAGAAATTTCAGTATCCTTAATCACGATGGCAATAAGGGACATAAGAGAAATCACATAATAGGGGGTATTAACATGCCAATAAGAATACTTAGCTTTCTTGGCTGGGCACAGTGACTCATACCTGTAATCCCAGCACTTTGGGAGGCTGAGGCAGGAGGATCACTTGAACCCAGGAGTTTGAGACTAGCCTGGGTAACACATTGAGAACTTGTCTTTACAAAAAATAAAAAAATAGCTGGACATGGCAGCACATGCTTGTAGTGCCAGCAACTTGGGAGGCTGAGGCAAGAAGATCACTTGAACCCAGGATTTGGAGTTTGCAGTGAGCTATATACCATGCCACTGCACTTCTGCCTGGGTGCCAGAGCAAGACTCCACCTCTAAAACATAAATAATAAAATAAAATAAATAAATAAGATAAAATTTATCTTTCTTCATGAAAGAAATGGAAACTAAAATAAACAATTTTGTTACACAGGAGACAAATTGTTAAGATGGTGTTAGTAAAAGTATAGTAGAACCAATGCTCAGAATTGTGGCTGTGTAAATCAGAAAGTCCTTTTGGGTAACACTTTCTAAATGTATTTTTCTACGTCTCCAATATCATACTCTTTGACACAGGAATTCGAAGGGCCTCAGCACAGAAGAGGCCTTAATATACAGAGATATTCACAGCCACACCCTGAAGTGACCTGGAGACCTAAGTGTCCAGGGTGGGGAATGGTTGAAGGGCTGTGACATTACACTCCAGTGAGATGACAGTGGGATGGATACCAATCCTCACAGCAGCTCACAGCAGCCCGAAGCTGAACGAGAAAGTGGAACGAGATGGGCACGGGTGGTTTGACTGCAGGATTAAATACATACGCACCTGGGAAAAGATCACAACAGATCAAGCAAAAACAAAAATACTTGGTTAGGTAGCAGTATTTAGGCAAGTTTTAAAACTGTTTATTGTTATAATTTTATTTAGACAACAAGAAGAAATTACAAAAAACTTAGGAACATTTATACAAACTCCTAAGTAAGAAAAAAAAGCCACGTGGGGCCTCGCAGGTCGTCCTGTGCTTGGCAGGGTGGGGAGGGCGGCGCGAGAGGTGACTCTCCCCTCCCTCCTAGGCACGGTGGTCGGCGTGGACGAGAGCACGGCCTTCTCGTGGCCCGCGTGTGACCAGTGCGGCAGCGGGAGACTGGAACAGAGGCCAGAAGACAGGTGAGGGCAGGGCGGGGCCTGAGGGCGAGGCAGCGACCCAGCCCGGGCTCCTGGGCATCTCGGGGTCTGCGGAGCAGGAAAGGAGGAGCCGCGCACCGTTTCCTAGCAGTGATTTCTGCTGGTTTTTGCAGCCGCTCCTGCCTCAAAAGAGAAAGCTGGGTTTTGTCCTCAGCTCCTTTATTATCAATCAGGAGAATAAAGAAAAACAGAAAAAACAATAATAAGTAGGGGGGGCGCAACCCTGCCTAACGGGCACAGGAGCACTGCGTGACGGGCACAGGAGCACTGCGTGACGGGCACAGGAGCACTGGGTGACGGGCACAGGAGCACTGGGTGACGGGCACAGGAGCACTGCGTGACGGGCACAGGAGCACTGGGTGACGGGCACACTGACGCCCACGACTCAAGCACTGCAAAAGCTATCCTTGCTACAGAAACATTTGCACCCCTTTATATCACGGAACAAAAGAAGCGAGGCACACTGCTGCCGCCCAGCTCGGCCTGTGGGAGGGCAGAGTGTTCGCCGCGGGCGCAGCCTGCTTCTGGGCCGCCCTGTGGAGTCAGCTCTGCGGCCTCCAGCGCACACTGTGTCATGTGGCCAAAGGGGCAACCCCGTTAACTTTCTGCTTCTTAAGGAGCAAACAGCAAGTGTGTCCTCGACAGCCCTGGGTTGGTGGCGTCGGAACGCAGTCACCACGGCTGGCACGGAAGAGACGGGGCGGCGATCCAGGCGTGCCCGGTGGGCACAGGAGCTGCAGTGCGTTGAGGGAGGCCCCAGGAGGCGGCCCCACTCCCCCAGCCTCCAGCCCTGGGCCGTCCCCGCCAACCCACGTGTTTTTCTGCCAAGGGTCCCCTCAACGGCCTCCAGCGGCTGTTAGCCGAAGCCGACTAACTGCGCCTGCGAGTGACCCTTTCTCTGCCAGCACACGTGCTGGTTAGAAAGGCGTTCCTGCAGGAGCTCTTGACTGTGCTTCTCTGGGCTTTGGCCCCGTGTCTCACACGCCAGGGCCGCCTTTTCCTGTGGGGACTGTTCCCGAGCGGTCACGTCTCCTGTTGTCAAGAGACACCTGCAGGTCTTCCTGGACTGCCCCTCGAGACCCCAGTGCAGCGTGAAGGTCAAGGTAGGAGCTGGCGCCGGGCGCGTGTCGGCTGTGTGCCGCCAGGGCCGGGCGTGGGGGTGGGGGGGGGCAGCTTCTGGCTCCCAGGCGGGCAGCACTGGCACCCCAAGCTCTTTCCAGAGGAGTCTCCCTGGGGACAGGGAGGATGCACCCTTCACAAATGAAGTCTCTCCGCGCTGTGACCCAAAAGTCAGGTTTGACCCAAGGCTTTGAGGCAGAAGCTGAGGACTGGTGAGGAGTCATGTAACCGAGCACTTGCTGACGGGACTCTAACGCCGCCCGTTTCCTGCTCTTGCAGCTGCTGCAGCGCAGCATCGCGTCCCTGCTGAGGTTTGCCGCCTGCGAGGACGGGGTAAGTGCCCCCCAGGGGAAGCCCCTCTTTGGAAATGAGGTCACCGCAGCTCAACCTGGAGGGAGAGGCAGGAATCTGTCCCCCTGGCTTTGATCAGCAGCATAGTCCTGAGATCAGAGTCCTTCCTGTCATGGTGTCCTGTTAAGAAAAGGGAATTGGCTAAGACACTGTTTTTAATTGCTGGGTATTCCAGACTCTGATTAACTGGTAACGCCACTGCTTCTTCTCAGAGCTGGTTTGCCTGCCCCAAGAGTTGCTGTGGGGAGGCTCAGAAAAGTGTGCTGTGCCCCTCCAAGAAAAGCACCACCTAACGCATAAGTTATAGGCCAGTGGCGTCGGAAAGTGCCTTTGCGAGATTTGGCCCTCACAAATGAGATGTCCTTGGGAATGCTGCCTCTGTCCTGGCAAGGCAGTTAAACACACCGTAGAGGCATCTGTGGCCAGAACGGGGTCCACGCCCAGGGAGCCCACTTGGGCCGGCCTCCGGGCTGGTGCCGTTGAGGGAGGGTGACTGTCCCAGGAGCCCTTTGCTCCACTGAATATAAGGTGTCTTTTTCCAATGGCCCCATGGCCCGATTCCAGCCAGAATTTATGAAACTGGATCCATACTGTGAAGGCTCCTCCACCCACCCCTGCCTGCCCTTGTCTTCCCCTGCACCTCAGAGGCACTGCAGTTGACCCTCTTTCATCTAAACCACGGCTGGCAGAGTCGGGATTAAACTGGAATGTGGATAAACCCACAAACAGGACCTCTGAGGATCACCAGTCGGAGGCCGAGGCTGTGAGCCCTGACCTGGCAGTAGCATTGCCTGTGGTGCTCTGGAGGGTTTCTGCTCCCTCCTGGGGTAGAGCCTACTGACGCGAAAGGTCCCTGGTGACCCCGAGCTCCAGCTCGGAACCCTCGCCGGAGCTGCCACTGCACTGGTGGGAGCCGAAGCGTGGCCCAGGCTGCAGGAGGCTCATGAGCGAGCGTCCGACCGTGCATAAGCCGGTGATTACACGGGCCAAGAACTGTGCTCCCTGCTTTTCTCGTGTTTCTTCCTGCAGTCTCCCCACGTCCCAGCAAGGCAGAGTCCATGTTGCACTGCCAGCGAGATGAAGAGAGCAGGGCTCCCAGCAGCAGACCCCACACAGGGGAGTCGCCGTTATCCCCACAGATACGGCCGCCTAGCAGAGCTGGGCCAGCCCAGATGGCTGTGCACGCAGGCCCTTGTGTGTGTCTCGGTTCTCATGGGGGTTTCAGTGTGTGGCAGCAGGTGGCGAGGCAGTGGTGCCTGTTGACTGATTCCTTGCTTCCTCCTCAAGCTCCTGGGGGCAGGAAGAAGGAAGAAAGAGGCAGTGCTGGAAAGGGGGGTGCTGCCAGGGCTGACTATATGGAGGTTTCCAAGGCGGGGCTTCGGGCAGGTGCTAAAGACTACGCATGTGGGCTCTCAGGGAATGCATCTTGCTGGAAGACATTGGAGGAAGCATAGGATAGGAAACGCTCCTCTTCAGGAACGCAGAACAGAATGAATCAAAACTCATGACCTAAACAAAACTAGTCACACGTAGGCATGGCAGGCAGGTCCCCCGGCAGAGCTGTGGCTGCGCAGGAGGGTGGCTTCAAGAAGCCCCCAGTGTTGGACAGTTGATGGCGCTTGATGCCCCTGACAATCCCCACCACCCTTTAGGGACTGGAGACCAGGAAGCCCTGGCAGAAGTCCTCCCTCCTTCACTTGGTTTCCTTCTGGCTAGGGCAACTTGTTCCTCCCACTCATTTAACTTGTCCACTAGAATGTTCCGGTAGGTAAAACCCTGCTTATAAAGAGCTTCACAGTATGTGTACATGAGTGCATACGTGCACACGCTTGTGTGCATGTGTCTGCTTGGGTGTGCTGTGTGCGTGTGTGCACAGGGTGGCAACAGCCCCAGGTGTTCCCACAGTGGGTGCTCTGGTTTTAGGGTCTACCCAGTGGACTGAGGGTCCACTGAGGGTAAGTTCTGAGCCTAGAGGTGCACATTTTAGGAAGCCCCTTACCCAGACCCTAACCTTACTCAAAGTGGATAATTGGTTCTTTACGTCTGGCCTCGAGAGAAGCCAATAGAAAATGGGCATCCAAAGGGCCTGGGTGTAAGACATCAGCTTAGGGTCACCAGTCTGGATTCTGTCTGTTTTCTGGGTGAGAATGTACATTTACCAAAATCCAGAGAATCAAATCAGGGCTTTCCACAAAAGCCGTCGCTCTATTCCCTGGAGCAAATGTACTGTTTCTGGTTAAGACACATGGGTGTTAAGTTTTATACCTCTGCTTCAGTGTAGTCTAGCTACAGATGTGCAAGCAATAGGATTGGCTGTCATACATGTCATTTCTCAATGGTAACATTATAGAGATGTGGAATTTGAAGTTTGTTTCCTTAGCTTTCAGAAAAGGAAAAGTTAAAAGAACATATATGTATCTTGTGACTTTTAAAAACAGAGACACATTTTATACATATGCAGATATACATTCAAATGAATAGTGCATGTGAGTTTGCTGGTATGATTATCTTAACCTCCCCATGTTAATTTTCCCCAGATATAAAAGATTTATAATTTGAACTCCATTTATAGATGATACAGCCAAAACTAACATTCTGAAAAGCAATGACTTTTTGCTGACTGTTTTTCAAGTCAGAATTCCGCACTTTCACTCCAGAAGAGCACAGAGGCCGGCCCTCTGCTCACGCACGCACGCACGGCCGCTGAGACGCAGAATGTCCTGCTCTCCCACCTGCACTCGGGCGCCGCGCACGGGGCCCTGGCCTGCACCGGCCGCTACTCTCTCCAGGCCAGCAGCCGTGGGGCTCTGTCTTGCTCGCCGCCACCTCTTCAGGGTCGCCACCTCCCACCTTCTCACCAAGGAAGCCAAACTCTTTACAAGGCACACTGAACAGGCTAGGTATTTCACACCATGCCCGTCTTACAAATGGGAAAATGCAAGTATCCGGTGAGTTGGCACGAGAGTTGTGTTCGCATCCCAGACTGATCCTGGTATTCATTGCTAGAAAACAAACCATCTCAAAACTCAGTGGCCGCAACATTTATTCTGCACACAGCCCAGCAGTGCGGACAGGGCTCCGCCAGCACAGCTCCCCTCTGCTCCGCTGGGCCTCGGCCGTCCGCAGACTGGGCCGAGTTGGTCAGCCCTGGCAGGGCTGCGGCCCGACCCTCACCGCATGTGCGTGGGGCAGAGGCCAGCTGGAAGCCGAGCACCTTTCCCAGCCAAGCTTGAAATGTCACTTGGTGTTCCTTCCACTGCATTCTGTCCCTGAGAAGCTAGGCGCCCAGGCCAGTCCAGACCCCCCAGTCCCCGCCTTTGGTGGGAGGGCGCCGAGGAGCCGCAGACCGTGCCTGCTTTGGCCGCACTGTCTGGCCTCTCCAGCCTCAGTCTCTTTGCCGTGACACTCAGTGGTGGATACAGACCGAGCGCAACTGCTGCAGAGACTTGTCCAGGCCTTGCACCAAGGAGGCGGGAGGGGCGCTTGTGAAGTTACTCTGTGAGTGGCCTTGCCCTCTAGGGCTCAGTCTCCCCAAGGCCAAAGAGGTAATTACCTCAATGCTTTTGAGCTTCTCTTTATTTTCAGGCCCAGCCCCAACAGCAGGTGCTCTGCAGCTTGATCTATAGGGGCACACCACACCCTCCCAGCCCACCCCGTGCCTGTGTTCTCATCTAGAGATAAAACTCACCCAGGATGAACCAAATAGAATGTGAAGAAAAAGCTCAGTCTCGTGACTCCAGCACAGAAAGAGCTGTTTAGCCCAGTGTAACTCTAAAAAAAAATGGGATCCTATCAAGGAGGGAAGTTTGGGGCAAAGTACCAGGAAATCCTTTGACCGGAAGTGTTGCTAGATTGGGGAAGTGTCCCAAAGGAAGTGGAGACAGCTGCAGGCACTGGCCTTCCCAGCAGGGCCCTTGCATGTCGCCCCGGGCCCTTCCCTGAGCCTGGGGGTTGCTTGTCATGACATCCAGTGAGACCGCCATCAGGAGGCACTGTCCATGAGCCTCGTGTAAAAGCAGAAGTCGGCTATCAGAGGAAAGTTGGCCGCGACAAGTGGGGCTTTTACAGCAGTCCTTCATTTCTCCTCCCTGCTGCTGTTCTCAGCCGCGGGGAGTGAAAGGTCACGGCTGGGGACAGGCCTCTGCCCTGGCGCTGGGCTGTTCTGTGTTGCTGGGAACAGGACGTCCAGGCCAGCCCCGTTTGCGTTAACCAGTGTGCCTTTATCACTGCAGAGTTACGAGGTGGAGCGCGTCCTGGGAAAGGAGGTGGGGCCGCTGAATTGTTTTGTGCGGTCTGTAACCGCCCTCCCGACCAGCTGCGTGGGATTGGAGGAGATCGCGCTGCCGGAGCGGGAGGCGCCTGCGCGGGACGCCCGCCCTGCCCTGGGATCTGCGTGCGACCCGCGGCAAGGGTGGGAGCAGTGATGGGGCAGTTACTTGTTAGCTGTGGACAGAGTGAATGTAGTTTGTGATCCTGGAATGAAACTTACTAGATTGTCCTGGGACAAACGTTAATAAAATGGTTTTGCAAAATGAAAATCAAAATTCTTTCTCTACGGTTTTATTATTACCTTCTTGCAAATTCAGGAACATGTTGAATTTTAAACTTGAGGCCTTAATTTTATATTAGGCAATATTTTAGCAGAAAAAAATTTGTTCAGTTGTAATTTTAAAGTATTTAAAATTTTACCATGATTCATTGTTTTTCTTGTAGTAATTGTTTTAACATTCCCTCAAAGAATTCCTGGCAAAGCTCAAATATTTGTCCTGTATGTGATGCTGCTGTTGTGCCACAATAAATGTCAGACTTAAGCATTTTGCAGTTGAAAATTTTGGGGAAAATGTTCTGGGGAACTATGTCAGAGGTGAAACTGTTACCCATAAAGTGTAAATAACTTAGTCAGGGTGCTCATAGCTGCACTGATACAGACGGCTCACCCCCACAGCCCTGTTCAATCAGGCTGGGTAATGTATGCACAGAGCAAAGATTACAAACTTCAGTCAGTTATAGTTTGCTTTGTTCACAGAGATTTAAACCACAAATTAATTATCTTTGGACACTAAAGATTTTGTGTTTCCCTACGTATAGCAATATAAGCATGACAGGCCAGGGTTAATTAATTACATAATATACACGTAGCAGCCCAAGACCAAGACAAGCTGCCTAATACCCAGTTTTCTTGGGAGGAAAGGCAGATAGCTTTGTTTGGATTAAACCTTGGAACATTACAGTTACTGGCAAGATAGCCAGTTTTAAGTAGTTTTGTGACTGCCCTTTTCCTCTCCTACATGACTATTTTGTACTTTTTTTGCGCACTTTGAAAATCTACTTGACATTGTCCATAAGACTGAGGAAAGTGAAAGTAAAGTCCCACAAGAGCCCAAGATGACTGTGACAAGCTTTTGGATAACTTGAAACCTCCAACACCACCTCACCCTTCCGGCAGCCATCTAGTTAGGGAGCTCTTTGGCTGTCCTCAGCAGGGTCCCCAAATCAGCCAGCCCCTCCCCAAGTCTGGGTACTTTTTGGCGAGCACCTTCCACTGGAGAGCTACTAGCTCAACTAGTTCGGTCACGCTGCGCCGCGCAGGGCGAGCTAAATACAACATACGGAGGCAGACGCAGGCATGTTGCAAAGCAGACCTCGCCTCTGAGAAACTCGTTCCTCCGCGGGACTCCTGTCGCCTGTCTCCCGGGTGCTCCTGCACCTGGAATGCACCCGCGCCCGTCCCTATGCGGGAGTCACCGCGAATACAGGAAGCAGGGCGGTTTTAAATGCTGCTTTATTCTTACAAACACTGTAAAAATCAATATAAAAAAGTGAGCATGCTCAGTCTTTCCCTCTTATCTACAATACAAAGGGCTTTCTGAAGTCTTTTTTTGTTTTTTACAAATGTACCTTAGCTGCATGAATAGGAGTAAGATGTAGAAAAAGCCACCGTTACAAAAATAATTTAAGGGGAAACAACCACGTATAGCTTCTCTCGCAGTTCAGTGGTGGAGGCCCGGCTGCAGCTTCCTTTCGCTCCCGCGTCCGGGGGCCGCAGCCGGCGCCCGGCGGGGCCGTCGGGCTGAGGTATGGGTCGTTGCGAGGCGGGCGGGCGTCACCGGCCGTCGGCGGCCGGCAGGAAGGGCGCGCCGGGCAGCTGCTTGAAGAACTGCCGCAGGCCGGCCAGGTCCCGCGTGAGCTGCTCCACGCGCCGCTGCAGCTTCTCGTTCTCGGCCGCCAGCTCCACCAGCCGCTGCTGCATCTCCTGGTTGCGCCGCTTGGCCTTGTCGCGGCTCTTGCGCACGGCGATGTTGTTGCGCTCGCGCCGCTGCCGGTACTCGGGGCTGCCGCGGTCCGGGCCCCGCTTGCCCGCGCCGGAAAGAGATGGTGCACAGTGGCTGACTTGGCACTTTCCCACGGCGAGAGCGCAACGCGCGTTCCGCTGCTCCGCGAATCCATTCCGGCGACAGTCCCCTGAGCTGGAAACGCACACCAGGCTGCAGACGCCTCCGTTTACGAGGGTCGCCCAGGACGCGCCCACCGCGAGTCGAGGCCGCCCGCAGGCGGCTGTGTAGTCCCACGCCTCCGGGAGGCGGCTTTGGCTGGGGGCTCGCGCCACCCGACGCTCTCGGGGCTGCTGGGCAAGGCGGGCGCCGCGCAGTGGCGGCGAGGGCGGCGCGCGGCGGCGGCTCTGCGGCGCGTCCGGCGGCCGGTGCGGCGCGGCGGCGCCAGCGCGTCTCGGCGTCCGCTCGGCCGCGCGCGGAGCGCGCCCGGCCCGGGCGCGGCGGAGCGTCGCGGGCTTGGCCGAGCCGGCGCGGGACCGGGGAGCGCCGCGACCGCAGCCCGGAGGCGTCCGCGTCTGTGCGGCTCCGGCCGGGAGGCCGCGGCAGCCACGCACGGCCCCGCCGCGGCTGCGGGCGGCAGCCACGGCCGGTCGTGGCCGGGCGCGTCCGCACCTGCCCTGCCCGCACCGGGCGCCGGCGGCCCCGGCGCGATCCCGGCGCGGCGCGGCGGGAAGGGAGGCGGCGTGCGGAGGGAGGGCCGTTCCGGCAGCGCGCCTCCCCGGCCGCCGCGGTCGGCGGCCCGGCGGGCGGGGCGGCGCGTCAGCCCGGCTAGAAAAGGCGCGGGGCGGCGGGGCGCAGCGCACGGACGCGAGCCGCCGACCCGCCATGAGCGCCGCGCTCTTCAGCCTGGACGGCCCGGCGCGCGGCGCGCCCTGGCCCGCGGAGCCCGCGCCTTCTACGAGCCGGCCGGCGCGGCAAGGCGGGCCGGGGGCCCGAGCCGCCCGCGCCCGCGCCCGCCATGTACGACGACGAGAGCGCCATCGACTTCAGCGCCTACATCGACGCCATGGCCGCCGTGCCCACGCTGGAGCTGTGCCACGACGAGCTCTTCGCCGACCTCTTCAACAGCAACCACAAGGCGGGCGGCGCGGGCGGCCTGGAGCTGCCGCCCGGGGCCCCCGCGCGCCCAGGGCCCGCGGCCCGCGCCCGCTCAAGCGCGAGCCGACTGGGGCGACGGCGACGCGCCGGGTCGCTGCTGCCGCGCAGGTGCCGCGTGCGCGCAGACCGTGGTGAGCCTGGCGGCCGCGGGCAGCCCACGCCGCCCACGTCGCCCGAGCCGCGCGCGGCAGCCCGGGCCGCCCGCGCCCGCCCGCGCGGAGAAG